CACCTTTCTCTCCCGGTCCTTGTATAGCTGAGACTGTAACATCGAATATTTCTCCATAACCTGGTAACTGAGGTTCGTGTGCTGTGATCACGGAGGCTTCTGGCCTGTACCGGGAGCCGTGGGGCTTGAAATCTGGATCATCTAGCACTATACCAGGTCTTGGTCGATAGGGATGGTAGGGTATACCTTGTGAAGCTGGAAGACAAATTTATAGCTATAGATAATCAATTTATAGCTTGAAAAAAGCTTGAAGTTAGCCATTAGTTTCGTTATTACACTTACGTGGTAAGGGTTGGGAATTAATCGATGATGATTTGATGTCTTCATTAACACTCGGCTCTACAACTGCAGGAACATGACTTGCGAGACCTTCAGTAGGTGTTGGTGAAAGTAAAGAATTGGTTGTTGAACTAACATCCGATATAGATGATTGTATAAAATGCTCCGTTAGTGTTTGGTTCTTTGAAATCTCGACTGGGCTCTCTTTTACAGCTTGTTTGTCTTTGGTTTGATTATCCTTTTCACTACTGAGTTGTGCATCTTTTTTATTATCTTTTTCTGGTTTGGTAATAATTGGTTTCTCCGTTGTGGGCTTCTCTGTGGTTATACGAAATGTCTCTTTCGGTGGTTGTGTGGATGGCTGTGTTGTAGGTGGTTTTGTGGGCGGCTGTGTTGTAGGTGGTTTTGTTGGTGGTGGTGTTGGTGGTTCAGTTGGAGGCTCTGTTTGTTTTTCAGTCGTTGTCGTTTTCTCGGTAGTTGTCGTTGTCGTAGTAGACGTTGAGGTAGTTGGCGGTTCAGTTGTTGTTGTTGTGGTTGTGGTTGTAGTTGTTGAAGTAGTAGTCGTAGTGGTAGAAGGTGTTGTTTCATCCTGTGTGGGCAATTGAACTTCGTCATCGATTTCTGGAGTATTTGCCTGTGGTACATTTTGAGAAGAAACTGTTTCTTTATCTCCTTGGTGTATATTGTTTTCTGAATGACCACTTTCATTTTCGTTTATTGCTTCCTCAGGATCGGTATAATCTAAGTTAGGGATATCAATCGGTGGAGGAGGTGGTGTTGGTTTATATATTTGCATGTTAGGGTTCGGTCTCCTGTGGGGTGGCCAAGGCCGAGGTCTCAGCCAGGGAGGCGACGGTCGACGAAACCCTGGTCGATGAGAAGTCATTGGTGGAACAATTTGCTCAGGTAAATTGACACCATGATATGGCGGGCGATCGAAAGGATAAGGGGGAGGTGTTGGATGGAATGCGAACGCTGGAGGTGATACGTTCTGCTCGAGATCTGGGAGGGGAGGAACGTCCGATATTTTAGGGGGACCACGATTGTTTATTCTCGAAGCCATGGGTCGGCCCGGTCTACCATTAAGTAGCTGCGTATTCGCCTGTACGTTAACATTACCGTTTAATAATTTGACAATTCCTGTAATGATATTTTGAATCTCCGAATTTTGTCGGCCTTGCTCCCTATGGGTAGCTGTTGCAAAAATCGGTTGCACTGCAGACGGCCGTACTTTGGGCCCCGTAGGTGCGAGTGCGCGCCCCTTCGGGACCCTTTTGGCTTCCCCCGGAAACTTAAAATTAAGTTTATCACCAAATCCCTCTGAAGATACGAACATTTCTTCATCTTGATCGTGTAAAAATACTAGAGTTTTCGTTGGAGTAATATCAAAGTACTTTCTCTTATTATGAAGTTCTAACTCGTTGTCGATTTCATTGTGATTCGATGTGGGTATTTCTTCAATATTAATAGACCTCGACTCCCTATCATTGGGATCAGCAGATCTCGCTACTATAAAATGGGTATCAGCATCATCTTCTCCTTCTATAATTTTTTCTAGTTCCGTATCTAGTTCTACGTCAAATTTGGCACTAGGTTCTATCCTAAAAGCTAAGTTTTCTGTGTTCGATGTTTGTAATACGTCATCTAGATTTAATTTTTCGTTGATTTCAGACTTTGGTGATAGATGTGATATTGTGTATATTTGTTCATAACCTGAAACAAAAGTGAATCATTAAAACATTTGCAATAAGATTAAGTATTTACTGGTATTATTTCTCAGTGAAATAAACGTATTTATGCATGTCTAGAATTATTTCAAACACGCTTAACTATACTCAAGAGAATCCGCTTATTTCACAGTTAAGAAAAATTCTCTAGAAAATTACTGTTCCAATCCCGGGCATGTCTAGTTCCGGTGCAGCTAACTGAATACGAGCTATTACTAGTTCTTGCTCGTTCCACGAAGCTAACAGAGTTAGCAGACATAATGCGAGCTCCGTGTGACATAATTTGACGTGTGACATAATCGCAGACAAGTGTACGGTACTGTAAAGGGAACAATAGGACCGCCGCTCGTAACAGAACACATTAATAATAAAATCACTCGTCACTTTCACTAGCATATTACGAATTACGAGTCACTGCTAACTGCGGGTAGTTTTATAATTTACTAGTTACAGCTCGCGACTTCATCCGCCTGGTATTTAAAAATAAAGTTAAAAAAGCATTTGCTACTTAGTGGTTACGTAGCTATTTAATGGTGCAAGAATTTTTGAAATCGGCCCTGTAGTTTTTGAGTCATTTCAATACATGCCAAATTACAAATCTTTCCTCTTTACACTATTGGTAAAAAATACTATTTTTAGTCAAGTTACATTCTTATATTTTCTCAACTTAGATTGTCAATTTAAGATTTTTCTTAAAATACAATTAAATCTCATTACAACTGAGTACCAACACGTACGTAACTTGAAGTAACAAAAAAGTTCAAGTCATCATGTACACCCGTCCACTAAGCAGCAACCCTCTTTCTACGGAATGTGGTAAAACAACTGCATATACTGTTGGGGCTATCGTACGTACTGTTTCTCCGTCACGCCCGAGCGGCGTTAAGTATCGGAAGACGGAGGTTTCTATTCCGACGTGTGTTCAAAGAGAAATGCCGAAACGCTAGTAGATTCAAGTCAACCTTAATTTGTATTATTAATAAGTTTGTACTATTATCTTCAGAGAGACTAACGCATTGAAATGTTATGTTTTCAATTTGTAGTGTTTACATATATTTTTTTAAATAATTTGAAGCATCAATTTTGATAACAATGTCCTCTTAATCAACCCTTAATAATAATAAAGTCAAATTTAGTTATTCAAAAACTTACTATACTCTAGATATATGGACCGGTAACAGATCCTAATATCGCGGTTAGTTCTGTTAGATCTAGTAAAGATTTTTGGACATTGAAAGAGTGGCGTCAGTGAGTCATAATTTAGTTAACGTGTATCTACCGGGTCAGACATAGTTGTCGGACTATACAATTTCAACACAATTTAGAATCACATGTAACTTTTATTAAAAATTTTCTGACATCCACAAAATCGTTTCTGCGTCTTGATTTTGACAAAGATTTTATTACGTAAAGGGAAATCGTAACATTCATGTAATTAAAGTGAAAACATTAAATTCTTGTATAATACAATATTAACGCAATATGGAAATGTTAACAACCAGTTTGTGCCCTATATGAAAGTAGTTTTCGGTAGTTTTAAAGGCTTTCTCTAATAAACACACTATTATGTAACTACCATATTAGATTAAGTACTAGCTTACGCCCGCCATTCCATTTGTGCAGAATCTATACTATTATAATAAAGCGTAAACAGACACTTCTTTGTTGCCTAAGATGTCAGCAATTACAGCATATTTTTGAATAATCCTTCTTTTAATAAGAAGCCCTACACTTACGTCACGATTTAGGCTATATATACTTTCACGCCATTAAACTTAGGGTGTATTTTGGATAAAAACCCTAATGTGGGAAAGACCATAAGTTGCTGCCAACATCAAGGAAGCAAAATTGCTAAGGTTTGTCATGTCATGTCATTTTGACATTTGCTATTGATAATTTGACGCATGTAAACAATAAAATATTATTTTTATAATTTCATGCGGATGAAGCCGCACAGGTACAGCTAGTTTTAAAATAAAGTAAATACGCTAAGCTATGCTCTACATCGCTGCCAAAGTTCGTGGAGATCCGATAAGTCATTTAGACGGTAAATTCTAACAAACATCCATCCATCTATACTTTCGCATTGATTATATTAGTAAGATACTAGTAAATAGGTAGATACAACACTAGTGATGACCTTCCCTAATCAAATTTCCTGATGAAACCTACATTACAAGAAAGAGCACATGTTTTTAAACATGTTGTAAAGGGTAAAAGGTAACTATTATTTTTCTGTAAAGCAATTTGACTACATGCTTGTTTTATTTATAATCCAAATTGTTTCTAACAAAGTTCTCGTCTTGTCTACCAAAATCCAGTAGCTATAAAACCTTCTTGTTATCGAGATGAAAACTAGTTGTGTTTATTGGAGAATGTCGAATCTTATCACCTGTTGAGTGGCTTGCAGCGAACTGACCGCATTCTAGTCTTGTAAACATTATTGAGGTTAAAGTTATAAGTATTCCAACTGTATGAGTTGACACGCACATCTTTGGGTGTATAAAGTGATTTTAAAAGTGACCTGCTGAGAATTTAAAATTGCTAAATTACGCTTGCTTATCCCATATTGTGAGATAGAGGACATAAGATACTAGTGCCATATATATGTTAAAAATGCCTAATTAAACTGATTACCGTATTTTTTTTATAACATAAGGTGGCAAACGAGCAAGCGACCACCCGAATCCGCCAAAATGGCGACTCGACCGGTGCCCATAGACATCCGCAATTGCAGATGCGTTGCCTACCCTTATCTGATGGAGGAAAAGACGCACATAAAGAGGATAAATCCCCTTCCTATGCATCTCCTGTACCGTCAAATCCACTTCCCGTTCCCATCCAATAATTATGTCTATACTTGTATACTAATATAATAAAGAGGAAAGATTTGTATTTTTGTATGTATTGAAATAACTCACAAACTATTGGGCAGATTTGAAAAATTCTTATACCGTTAAAAAGCTATGTTATCAGTGATTAACATAGGCTATAATTTTTTATTATTTTTTAATTCCACATCGCGAGCAACAGCTAGTAAAATTTTCCTAATTAACGTTTTTACCTGGATTAGTCTTGTCTAGTGTATTTCTCGTCTTGTGTACATCGTACAGGCTTTTGTCTATTATTAGTAAAACAAAAGATGAAGAACCACAAAAGGGTCATAGACTCAATAACAATTGTTATGAATCATGTACTATTATTCCTTTATTAATTTTTTATATATTATCTTTTACGCGATTGTTATTTATAATGAAACACACACTGTACTACATCATGACTCGTGTGAGAGTGCGACTTATATGGCCTGAATATTGTAAAGAAACGCCATTCTACAAAAATGATGGTGATCCCGCATGTTCATATTTTATCAGAAAATTACAGTCCCAATCTTACCAATATTATAAATGCAAAAGTTTAGATGTGTAGATGTTTGTTAGAGTTTGTAGCCTAAACTGATGAACGAATCTCGATGTAATTTGGCACAGATGTAGATAGTCTGGAAGAACACATAGGCTACTTACTTTTATTTTTTTAATTCCAAACGGAGGGAATCGAAAGCTAGTAAATATTATTTACCCTTTCGTTTTTTTTAGCAAAATAGAAATAGTAATAATGTATTAAATGTGACATTAGTGGAAACCCACTGTTAGATTGAGTGAAATAAAATTGATTATCTAAGAGTGCGTACTGACAAACGTTACAGTAATGTTACAAGATGTAACATTTACAAGTAAGACTACAATGCTTTACGTGTATGTTATAGTACACAGCGTCACGCACCTCGGCGAACATACTAGAACCATCATCTTTTGATACTGATGATTCTGTTGTAGATTTGTGCATTTATTAAATTTTATACAAATAATTAGTAAGTATGTAAGATGAGAAATGCAAAGTTGTTTAGAAATTGTCTAAGTCAATAACCTAAGAACGCTTAGCTGGAAAGCTCGAGATCATGCTTTAATACTTTCTACGTTAATTTTATTACGAAATGCAATTTACAAACTCGGAGGCCGGGGAAAGTGTAAGTCAACATGTAATATAGTTACTTAAATGTCGATACTGTAACAGCGTCGATATTTTTTTTATAACACAAGGTGGCAAACGAGCAAGCGGCCACCTGAAACCGCCAAAATGGCGAACCGACCGCTGCCCATAGACATCCGCAATTGCAGATGCGTTGCCTACCCTTATACGACGGAGGAGGAGACGCACATAAAGAGAATATTTCCCCTTCCTATGCATATCCTCCACCGTCAAATCCACTTCCTCTTCCCAACCTCTCCTTAAAAGAAAAGGGTGGTAAAGAGAAAGGGACTTAAATTATGCCTTAAATTAGGCGATATTAAAAAATGTAGTTATTTCTTTAAATCTGCTATATAATATAGTTTCCATCCAAATTTATAGCGATTCGCAATTTTGGGATGTAATTGGATGAGATGGGGACTACTGTGCAAACTATCATCTACATGCAATTGGTCCACCTTTTAAGACATACAATAAACTACGAGCGGCTGTTAGGTTTGAATCATATTATACCAGTTATTAGACAAACAATTCTGAATTTTGAGACACGATTGTGCTTCTAGAACTGGGAAATGATCAGAATTATTAATTTAATAATTAGGATTTATCCAATATTATCTGACTTTTTTTACTTGAAGATCGACTTTATCTTTTTTACTAGTATCAAGTTTTATAATTATTTTCTAATACGTCATTAAATTATATCGAAATAAACGTGATCGAAGTTTATAAATTCATTCGGAACTCACGTTACGTCCATTGAGGTCAATGACCTCATAAAAATCTAAAATGGCTGCCAATTATACAACCTACACCGAAAACGTTAACTTATTGAGGGCTGTGAATGACTAAGGCATTTTAATGTTACCATCATTATATATTTTTTAAGGGACAATGTGAGCCAGAAAAATAATATTTGATAAATTGTTATCAACATAGTTACTAGGATAAAATCAAAAAATAAAATAGCGTAACTCCTTAAAGACCGGAACAGTAACGTTTTGTCGTGCTTTCTTGTAAAAAATAAGGAAAAAAGAAACGATATGTACTTTACTTTAGTGAAAACGATGATTCTCCACTACACTTGTGGCCATGACAGTTGACAGCTGATGACCTTAGCTTTCTCAAGGGGGGACAGTGCCTTGACTTGAATTTTTCTGATTGTAGCTGTGTATACTATTCGCATACTTTTCACTACTTAACTAATTATTTACTTATTAATAAATTAAATAAATACTAGCTTCCGCCCGCAACTCCGTCCGCGTGGGATTAAAAAAAAAGTGTGTAGCTTATGTGTTCTTGCAGATTATCCAAATGTTATGGAGATCCGTTCAGCCGTTTAGGCTACAAACTCTAACAAACATCCATCCATCTAAACTTTCGCATTTATAATATTAGTAAGATAAATTGGTGAAAAACTCAAAGTTATCCTTTGCTTGATCAGGTTATAACTTAAGTCATGTATGAGGACAGTTATCGAAAGTGTATGGTAACTGTTAACCGATGGCAGCGGACAGGTCTAGGCGCGGCTGTTAGCTATTTGGGTTCCTCCGTTATAACACGATATTCATGGATTCTTAAGTTTCCATTTATTAAGTCTCTCTTTGATGTGTCATATCTTCTATTAGAAAAAATCGTAATTATATGGTATTTAACATTGAGGTTAACAGACCCTAATCTGTAATCTGTACTAATATTATAAAGAGGAAAGATTTGTATTTCTGTATTTTTGTATAACTCAGAAACTACTGGGCCGATTTGAAAAATTCTTTCACCATTAAAAAGCTACGTTATCAGTGAGTAACATAGGCCATGTTTTTTTATTACTTTTTATTTAACGCAGACGAAATTGCGAGCAACAGCTAGTCATTTTATAAAGGGGAAAGATTTGAGTGTTTGTTTGTTTGCATTTAATAGGTTCCAAAACTACTCAAACTATTTTAAAAAAATCATAATTAAAAGCTACATTATCATAAATTAATACATAGTCTTGTATAACATAACAAAAGATATAAGAAGTATATTTTGTCACCCAAGTGAATCTGGGGACGATCCCTAGTCTAGGCTGAGTCATCTTTAGATTCTTAGAAACTAGATTATTCCGGTTACGAATAACTATTTGAATATAAAATCGTAAATCTGACACATATAGGCATTACAAAACCCTTGTATTTTCGTATGCAATGTGTGTCAAGTCTCGAGACGAATTGTTTAAAAATTGTTCTCATTCTTATGAATACCGCAATAGTCATGTTAAAATTGTGAGAAGCAGTTTAATACGTAAAAAGACGTATACAAATTGGTTCTCTCAGCTGTTTTTAGTAAGTATGAAAAGGATGGACATTTTTATACAGATCCGACATCCATGTGAGCTACTAATTTTAACTGAAACATTAATAACATTATAAACAGAGAGATAGATTGTCTATCTCTTTCTGTAATCCCTTCGTGTTTCGAAATGTGCTGTGATTTACTTTCACCTCAAATCACGAAGGCTTTCGTTTTTGTCTCACCGAATTCTTACGATGTTACTAAGCATATGTACTAACTACTTTAGCTAATCTGTAATAACATTATAAAGAGGAAAGATTTGTATTTTTTATAAAATGAAAGGGGGCAAACGAGCGGCAAGAACACCGAGGTGGTCAACGACGCATTTTGGTATGCATTGTATTAACTCAAAAACTACTGGGTCGATTTTAAAATTTGTTTTACCATTAAAAAGCTACGTTATCAGTGAGTAACATAGGCTGTATCTTTTATTATTTTTTAATTTCACGCAGACGAAGTCGCGAGCAACAGCTAGTGTAGTAAAACATTATTAGTGTTAATTTATTTATTGCAGCACTTTATAAAGCCTAAAGGCTGTACACGGAAAGCTCAACAAAACTTGATGCTGTACTTGGACGATGTGTGCTGTGCTTTTCACGATTATTGACAGTTTAAATTTGGTTTTTACCTATTTTATTGGTTGAATTCAAACAAAGATTTCAGTATCTCGTGGAAGATTAGCGCTGGGTACTTCGATCAGAAGCATCCAGCATTTATAGCTGAGCGAGTACTCACTCCGGTCAGCACTGCATACACATTTTAAATACTTCGTTTGTCCTGTAATTACGTGTTTATTGTTTTCCTTTTTAATTACTTTATTGTATTTTTTCTCTAATTCCTAATTGTGTTGCAGTGGTGATAAGATTAAATGTTATTTTATTTTCATTTTATTTTATTTTATCTACCTCCAATTTATGTAACCACCATAACATTCTGTCTGTCAATTTAATCTATAAAATAAGAATAGTTATGTTAAAAACATCTTTTTATATTCATTAAATTCGTATACTACATACGGATGTAATGCTTTTTCATACCATCAATAATGATATAAAAACTTTTTATAATCAAACGTAGAAATTTGGCGATCTGTAGGCGATAGGGGAACGACCCCAAGTCCTTGAAATCGTCTCACTATAAACAGCTCGAATGAATTTTGACATAAAGATTGAAACACACCAAACAAGTAGGACGTCATAAGGTGAATTTTGGACTTTAGTATTTCGAAAAGTAATAATAAGTTGTAAATATTGTACTACTGTCAGCTAATAAAAGCTTTAGCTTCAATCTAAATGACAAAAGGTAATATAGTATATTTCTTTAACTATTTTAAGTTAGTGTACATAACTACCTTGAAATAACAATTACCTTATCATGATAGAAACAAAAAAAATATAATATTTTCCAACTAATTATTTTCATAACGATTCATTGAATTAATTAACAATAGCAACTATGACGTCATAACACTCAGTGTGGCATTGCCCTTATAAACATGGTTGTCGAAGAAAGAGGAGCCGAAATGTTTTTTGATTTCTTCATTCGATAATTCGTTTTTTGTTAACATTTCTTGCTCGTGCGTGGCGACTGATGTTGTAGACGTAAAGAATTACGTGACATTTAAAAAACACTTTAATGTAATCTACTGTTGATACTGACGCAAATACTTTGACTTTAAACTGTCCTGTGCTCACTGGACTAGACAATAATTATGATATACAAATCAGTAAGGAGGTGTTGCCACTATACTTGTCTCTTTTACACAAGTCTGACTATAACACAAGTCAATACAACAACCGTATCCATTGGTTTTTCGCCAATATCAATTTTACCGGAAATGAGGTCGATAACATTAATGTTATTAAAATTAGTTATAGAGATGGTTTTTCGTATATACGGTAAAATTGTTATTTACTTGGTATTATCAATATATGAATATCATTAACTTGTTATTGAATGACGCAAAAACCAACGTTAATGGATACGCGCGCGGCAGGTAAATGATATGGCCTACTAAATCCACCCTTAATAACCTACAAAGTTAATGGTTTATCTAATAGTCTATTCAAGTTGATATTAATTAAAATAGGTGCAACGAACTGTAGTTCTTTGATTTAAAATAATTTAAATCTACCTTACTTTTAGAAAATTTGGGTTAATTAAAAACAAGCTGAATCCCTTATTTTTTTGTTTTGTTTTTTTATTTATTAAAGATGATTATTCATGGATTGTTACATCTTGATTGTCTACTATCTTGTAATTCGTAGCATACTATTATAAACGCGAAAATTTAAATGGATGGATGTTTGTAACGTAACTCCAAAACTACTCAACGGATTGAAATTTTGCACAGATGTATAGATGATTACTTTGGAAAAACACATATGCATAACAAGTTTTTGGTAATTCTGCGCGAACGTTGTCGCGAGCGAAAGCTAGTGTTATAAAAAATATAACTTACCATTAACAACTTGTATAAGTATAGCGAACAGCGCTGCGCAGAGCCGGCAGCGTGTCCGCCATCGCCCCCTAGCGGCCATTTTGTTTTGGCGGCAAACTTGACAGTTCACTGACGTCCATCCGTGCAACACCACATTACTTACAAAACAAACCAATATATATTCGGACGGTCACATCTGTCGTAGTCAACTGAAACAACGAAAATTAAGGAATTGTTAACATCAAATCATCCTAAAGAGTTTTTACGTGAATCAAATACATACAAAAATCCTAAAATACAAATCTTTCCTCTTTATAATATCAGTATAGATATAGATTACTGTACTACCCCATAAAATATAGTTTGAAAACTTACATTTAAATACCAAGTACAAAAGACTTCAACGAATGACTTAGAAAATTATGTAGACATCGATATCGTTTCATTATTTCTTACAAAATTTAGTGGGACAAATGGTGTCTATATTTTGTATATAAAATCTAAAGGACACGTGCAAAAAAAGTAAAAGAAACTAAACCACATTTACACTTATTACAATAGTTAACATTATCAGGAACTACATTGGTTTGACCTACTAACCGTTTTTCATGCAGAAACGTACCGTGACGTCACATAGTACAGTCAGCTTCGCTAAAAGTATTCGAGATATAAATAGTTTAATGAAATAAACAACTGTTTACTTGAATAAAACATTTACTATATCGCTTTAGAACTAAAACTAGACGTTAGTTAAGAATGTGGAGGGGTACACCGGTAGAGGTAGACCTAAAAAGAGATGGATGGATTGTGTGAAAGGGTACATGATCAAGAAGGGAGTGATGACTGAGATGACGGATAATAGAGTTATTTGGAGGACGAAAACCCGGTGTGCCGACTGTAGGAAAAGGCAGGGGAGATCATGATAATGCTTTAAAACTAAAACACCATCTGAAAATCCCGCTGTACCTTCAAGGACGTATACCTCCTCGAAATTTGACAGAATACTTGTCATACAAACTTACATACGCGCTTTGTTTTGCATTTTACGATCCAAAGTGTGAAGCTAATTTAATTCGTTAACTGTACATATTAGTAACGATGTCACATACGTGCGGCACTTTATTGAATAACAAACACATAACAGTCCGCATAAAAATGTATTTGGCATAACCAAATATATCGATAGAAAACTGACTGCCATATAATATAGGATATAAGTATACATAACTATTGTAACATAAATAATCACTACACGTAACCAATTGGTGACCATCTTTGTTTGCATCTTGAGAGACCCCGGGATCAGAAGACAGAACTCCTGTGCTTTCGTAAACTATGACTCAAGACCTCACTTTATTGTCACTTTCCCGGAATCATTTAGGAAAGCGATCAGCCCCTCCCCTCTCCACTATCGCATGCAAATCGCCCATGACATTGACCCCCTTGCCACGTGTGGCTCTTCTTATTGTCACTATTCTATGTTCATTTCCAAGTATACACTATACAATTTTATTAAATTTCAGTTTTAAATTTCGATATGCCAGTTAAAATAATTAGCGAGTATAAATGTACAAATGTACAAGGCATAAATTTATAATATCGTGAGCTCTACTGATGTATTTTTAATAATCTATCATTCAATCAGAAACCTACGTCACAATAACGATAAAGAATGAAAGAAAAAAGGACCCGTGAGTGAGAAAGTAGGGTTCGACCGCAAACCCAGTTTAACATTTGAGGAAAGAAACCTTTGAAAAGTCAACCAGCGATGTTACATAATAAAAAATATGCAAGTCAATGGAGAGTCGTTAAAATTTCATCAGTAAACTTTTATGCTGAATATAGAGAGATTTTATTTTCACTAATAACTTAAGAAACTTATGATTTATTAATCAAACATAACAAATGTTATGTAACTTTATAATGGTACTTAATATTCTGACGAATTTAACTTTCTCACTCAGAAAGAAAATGTCGTAAAGAAATTTGTATATAGTCTCTATGTTCGAGTCATTCCATGAGTCGACTTCGTATAATTCTTTTTGGAAGTGTCTTGCGATTAAAATGCAAATTATATAGGACAGCAAGAATTCGCAGGCCACATCTAGTAGCTATAAGTATACGAATAGCTAAGTAATTGTTAATTCACGTGGCAGCTCGAGCGTACAGTAACGGTGGCTTGATCAAACGTTGGCGTGTGTGCCCAATGTTTGCTCAAACTGTCCTGGAATTCCAACTGGCCTCGATCCTATAGCGTATTACGAGGTAAGTGGTAACCTATAGGATACGATTTATTATGTTTATGCCATGTCTGTTTTAGTTATCTGAAGAGAACATATTAGACATGTGAATGAAGAGGTGTTCACCGGAGGAAGGCCTAGAAAGAGGTGAATGAATTGCGTGAATGACATGATCAAGAAGGGAATGACAATTGAGATGAATGGAGATAGATCAAAATAGAACGAGGACCTATACCGACCCTGGTAAGAGGATAGACAGAATTATGATAATGAAGAGAAATATATTTATATAATTTATGACAGAATAGATATTTTTAAATTAAGAATACATTTCAAGCTGTATAAGGTTATAAATTATTTACTTAGAATGTTAATATCATAATATAAAAGAGAGAGTATGGTCTAGTTATTTTAAGTTACTGCCAATTACTTTACTCTAACAATATTTCTTAAGTTACGTTTAAATCATAGTTTAGTAACTTTCTTCATTTTTAATGTTCTACAACTTAATTTGTGACTGTTTCTATTTTAATACTAAGTATATGAGAAATATAAAACAATATCTTCACGGCGTTTACGAACTAGTGTAGACACGGGCATACGTTAACGGTACGACAGGTGACCTACATACCAGCCGAGCTATCGACTGACAAGCCGTTTTGTTTATCGCTTACGTGTTGCTTCTAAAAATAAACGTGGGTTTCCACTGCCAATATTTTGTAACGAAACCAAATATGTTTTTAGCTTGAATAACATTAATAGGGTCATATATATACGTATTGTTAACTACCATCTACATACGATACAATATATTAATTATTTTCTCACATAAAAGCACTAAATAGATTAATATGTCATAGAGTGGACATTTGTATATTTCCTTACAAACCTCAGATGCAAATAAATACCACCACATATGACTGACTGATGAATGACTATACTTGTTACCTAGCATCAATGCATGAAAGTTTAGTTCGTGTTGTCCTTTCTGATGAGTTGAACATCTTTGTCATACGTCATACGTAATTCGTTATCACACAACAGTGGCAACACTAGCGAGTTGTCATTGCAAGCGGATCTTCAATGTAGCACGGTGCTTAAGCATGATTCAGACATCCGGCTGAATTGCGATAGTTGCCTTGCGCAAGTGTTGCGGCGTGCGTCTTGTGACGCTCTACCACTCTGCGATGTAATTGTCTACGCTATACTTTTGTCTTAACGTTTAAAGCGGCAGAGATTTTTCTTTCAGTTCCTGCAGTACTCGGTAGCACACCCTGTATATCATGTATACATTTCTTAGTCGCACTGTAAGCCAGATACGTACCAAGTGTTTATTATAAATGAGAAAGTTTAGATGTATGTTAAAGTTTGCCTTTTCCACGAACGGATTTCGATTAAATTTGGCATAGATATAGAGTATAGTGTGGAAAAACACATAGCCTTATTTTTTTTTATTCCACTGATGTGTAATCCAGACTGTGTTTTATAACTGTGCCAAATTTCAATAAGATATGTTGAACCGTTGCATAATGATCGAGTAAACATTAAATAACTAAATTAATAAATCCCACGGGAACCGTAAGTATTCCCGGGATAAAAAGTAGCCTATGTGTTCTTCCAGACTATGCTCTAAACCTGTGCCAAATTACATGGGGATGGTTTAGGCTACAAACTCTAACAAACATCCATCCATCCATCCATCCATCTAAACTTTCACATTTATAATATTAGAAAGATTACAGTTATCATTATCTAAATGCATTTAGAGATATAATCACATTTAACAATGGTAGAGTCCGCGGCATTACTACATCCTCGATTATTGCACAAACACACAGGAGACACGAGACAAGTGGATTTACTACGCTATCTTTACGATTTTAGGGTGCCGTTTGCTTAAAAAGTTTCTTGTAAAATTAGCAGGTTAACAAGGGTAAATAAAATCAAACCGGATTATGAATTGGCCGGAAGTACGTAATACAACTTGCACAATATTCTGTCATTGATTCACCGAAGTCTTACATAACAAATGACGTACAATTCCTTCTTGTAGACGTAATAAGTTAAGAAGATAAAATTAAGACCAGACCATAAATATCCATATTTTACCAGTAGATTAAGTTAAAGTCAAATTACGTAAGTTTTACCTTAGTTAGATCCAGATATGTAGGCGTTAGAGTACGGCGCGGTTAGTTGACCGCTAGGATGCTATACAGAAAGCGCCGCAGATCTGTGAATCACACAGTCTAAAACAATCCTGTTCACACTCCCCCCTTCCTAGGACTAAAAGTGAGCAGTTAAACCGGTATTTGCACTGTTAATGATTTTTGGTTTAGTTTGTTTTTATCTATTCTTCTATATAATATGATAAAGCGTGAAACACACTACTTCGTGGCGTAGGATGTCAGCAATCACGGCATATTTTTGAATAAATAGCTCTACATTTACACACACTTTAGGCTATATATTTTTACGCTATTAAACTTAGGGGGTAAATAAATTGGAAAAAACCTTTATGTGGGAAAGAGACTATAAACTTCAAGCTGCCAACATTATGGAATCAAGGTTGTCATTTATGCATTTGAATTTTGACATTACACAAATGTAAATCACACTAATATTATAAATGCGAAAGTTTAGATGGATGGATGGATGGATAGATGGATGTTTATTAGAGTTTGTAGCCTAAACGGTTGAACGGATTTCAATGAAATTTGGTATAGATGTAGAGGATAGTCTGGAAGAACATAAAGGCTGCTCACTTTTGTTCTTTTTTAATTCCACGCGGACGGGCTCACGGACGGAAGGTAATAGAATAAAGTTATTAAAAATTTAATGCGGATGTCCAGGGGAACAGCTAGTAATAAATAAATAATTTAAAGTACAAGTGAAAATTCACGTATTGTACAAAATACGAGCCCGCATTCTGCATTCCCTTAGCATTTAAAGTGAAAACGATTGCGATAGTGATGTCGGAACCGAACGTACTTGTGTAGAAACTTCACTACCAATACGTATATGTATAACTGAGAATGTTTTGTCTAAAAATTCCGATTGTCGTCTCGTTCACTCTCTATTAATATAACAAAGACCACATGTTTTCTTACGATGTTTGAAATTGGTAACTTATACATTGTAATTGATATTACAATATTGACATAAGAAATTCTTACTAATGTAAATAGTAAAACTGTATATGGGAATCTCGAGATATTTTCTATGTTTGTTAAGCTACGCTTGACCAAGATCCCACCGGAAGAAAGTCTTACAGCCAAAAGATTTTGACGGTATTTCCAAACCAAAACGACTTAGGGTCCATTAAGAAACGAGCCTATCATTTCCTCAAAAATCGGCAACGAATCTGTAGTCCCTCTAGTGTTGCGGACGTCTATGGGCTTAGTTGACCACCTCGATGTTCTCGCCGCACGTTTGCCTCCTTTTATTATAAAAATAAAAAAAGATGGTACGCACTAGCCTAATAAGTAGTTATTTACTCTCCTTTAAATCTATCATACTTTATAGATGCGAAAGTTTGGATGGATGGATGAATGTTTGTTACTACTTGTTCCAAAAACTTTAACAGATCTCGCTGAAATTTGACACAGATGTAGAGTATAATCTGGAAGAACACACACTCTTTTAATATGCGCAGCATATCGCGGGCAAAAGCTTGTATATTAACATTTACGAATTTGTCTAACTGTGCCGAATTTAACAAACATGCGAATTGACAACTGTAAACCCGTTTTTTAATATTTAATAACAATGAAATCCACTGTTTCTTTCTGTTAATGGAAATAAAACGTTTCCACGTTTCCTACTGTTAATGAAAATAAAACTTTGTACAGTGATTTTTTTAAAAATCAGTTGTCCAATTAAGAGCTAGTCGTAAGATATCGCATCATTGTTGGTGGAAAGACACGGACTCACCGGCTTTAGTTGCATTGCCAGTGGAAACATGCAGTTAGCCGCACGGAGTCCGCAGGAACCGGTCAGAGAGGTGGAAATATTTGGGTTATCTCGTGCCGTCCGGTTACCTACTTATTGTTTGTGGGTTACTCTCGCTTGCAATCCTTGACATTGAATTAGGATTTTGAAAATCTCTACTTATGTTTTTATAACGGACCAATAAGCCATTTTAGTATGTACGCCAATCTTAAACTACGATTTATATTAACACTAGCTTACGCCCGCGACTCCGTTCGCGTGGAATTAAAAAAACAAAAGAGAGTAGCCTATGTGTTCTTCCAGACTATCCTCTACATGTATACCAAATTTCATCGAGATCCGTTCAGCAGTTTAGGCTACAAACTCTAACAAACATCCATCTAAACTTTCGCATTTACAACATTAATAAGAATAGGATTTTAAAGTCTGACAGATTGAAGGCCCCTACCAAAGATTTTATAAAATTGTAAAGAAAATGCACGTTAATTTGCTGTTATTGTTTGTATTTACTTAAGTTAAAACGGAAGAAAAGAATTCTTCTCTATTTAATGAACTCCGGTGGCCGCTTCCTTGTTAATCATACTTCATACTCGTCATACTAATCATACTAATATTATAAATGCGAAAGTTTAGATGGATGGATGGATGTTTGTTAAAGATTGTAGCCTAAACGGCTAAACGGATTTCTATTACATTTGGCATATACGTAGATACGTCTGGAAGAACACATAAACTACTCACTTTTGTTTCTTTTTTTAAAACCTAGTCTTACTATAAAAAAGTAACTTGATAATTGGTCAATTCGCGCAAAATGTAGAGGTAGTTTTCTCCTTACTGTATTAAGACGGTTTTGTTTTTGTTTCGAATCTAGTGAAAACCGGATAACACTTCATTTTATAAAAATGCTAATATCTTCATTGATATGCAAGGGAGCGTGTAGTCCACTTTTTACTCTGTATTTTTGGGTGAAATCATACAAGTATAGCCAGTTTAGTGAACACAATAATTATAGAAATACTCAGAGTTGAGATTAAGTAAAAAATCTCTATAACAAATTACTTCTTTAAGGATCAGTCTCTACTGTCGCCCTGGGCGTGACATCTACGGCGCCCTAACTACAATACAATAAGAAAAAAGCGGCCATTTTATATCCGGCGCCCAGGGCGGTTATCAATCTCGCCCTATCCTTACCAATACTGAATGACTATGCATCGATGGCGTCATCGAAGATGTAGGCTAGAATAGGCGCTAGATTGGATGCCTGACGGCGATAGTGTTCATGTTTCGTCATGCCTATGAAGGTGCGTGCGGAGCCGAAACTGGCCAAACCGCGTGCCCCTCCCGCGATTCGGCCCGTATGGCACGAGGGTCGGTGGGGCCATAGGTAGTGTTGGGCTTAGAATACTGGATGACTAAATACTAATGAGGCAATACAAATTGTTTTTGCAAGTATTTAAGTTTTTTCGTTCAAAAGTGATTAAGGCAAGTTTGTTTACATTTAACACAGTTTACCTACACTTTAATTCGTAACATTTGATTCCATTCACCCAGTTGCGTGCTAGCGTGAATATGTACAGTTATATTACAAGTAAAACAACACCGTTTCCAAGCTATGGATCATCGGATATAATTGTTTTCATACTGCTTTCTACGCACGTAAATTAAAATTTAATTTAATTGGTTTCCTTTTTTTATATTTATACGCATTTCGCTTATAATACTTAAGTATATAACTATGACTTTCAAAGCTTACATTTATATCTATACTAATACTATAAAGAGGAAAGATTTGTATTTTTAAATGTATTGAAATAACTCAAAAACTACTAGACCGATATAAAAAAAAACTTACACCAATAAAAGCATCGTTTATCAGTGAGTAACATAGGCTATATTTTTACTATTTTTTTAATTTCACGCGGACGAAGTCGCGCGCAACAGCTAGTATTTGTATATACTTAGGAATGTTTTGTCTGTTTTAAAAAAATAAAACTCGAATGAAATGAGTCATAAGGTCTAAAAAAATTAGTTTGAATCGCCCTAAGAACTTTTCGCCTTCGTAAACAACGTTTTATAAATTGTGTTTCCATTATACTAAAAATGTAGGTTGTGGTTTTAAAAAAGCAAAGAAGTAACCCGGACGCTTTCCTTACGGGGTGTAGAATCAAGACCGGCCAACGGGGGCAAGTCAGAAAAAACTAAACAAACCAGCCCTAGGCCCGTACTCAAGAACATCGATACGTGTTAAAAGTGAAATATGAAAAAAAACAGTTATTTTTTAAACTTCGAAATTAAGTTCGACATATTTGACATAGATTAAACTTTTTATGGTATAGATTTATATTCAAAAATTATCGAAATTCTTACTTTTAGTTAATATATCAGCTGTTTGAATCACAAAAGTATGCTAAACGCAACAAGCACTATTTTTTACACGGTTTACCAACTTTCACATTTTATAATTCACTGACACACGAGTTCCGTATACATTCAAACAATCATTTTACTAATTATAATTACGTTGGACACGATTAATCTTATTTTTAATTAACAATCACGAATATTTTTCTTATTAATAATTTTTTTAATACAAGCGTCGAACTAAATTTTATTATGTTCAAACATGCGCGCGCAGTAATGGCCGATACGAACTGCCGCGTTTCAAAGACTTCACACAAGTCTTGAGAGGAAAAGAGATAAAACATACGTTTGCCGTACCATAGAAAGTGATAGCTATAGGTGCAGTGTAGCGGGAAGTTTTTTCTCCTTTCGCGCGTCAACTTTCTAAAACATGATGATTTTTGTCATATATTATCTTGAAACAATTATTTTCTTTGAATTAGTCTAATATTATTTAAAAAATATGTATACATCTAAATGTCTACTATTTTTCAAATTAAAAACCTACTTATTTTGGAAATTGCACTTCATAACTAGAATTGCTTTCAGTTTTCTATTTAGTAATGAAGATAAGAATACTTACAATTTAAGAAACATTATATTTAAAAAAACTTAAAAACCATCGAATGGTTGACGTCATAGCTTGCATCTTTAAAGTAACTAATTCACTCCACATCAACATGGCTCGTTGGTCTAGGGGTATGATTCTCGCTTCGGGTGCGAGAGGTCCCGGGTTCAAATCCCGGACGAGCCCGGCACAATGCTTTTTTTGCCTTCGGTAAAATGAAAACTTTTAGTAAACTTTTTTTTTTGATAGCTCGGTCGAGAGAAGTTAATTATCTTACCACTAGAAAAATATAATTAATAAAAACTACGTAAAACGGTTAACTTTTATATTTTATCTAAATACCATAATGAAAAAATATTCTTCACCTTTTTTTAATCTAACAAAAACGAAAAAAAAAAACATTTTTGTGGTAAAAAAAATTGGCAAATCACATGGGCTATTGAATGTATTATTTTGCCAAAAGAAATATTTGATTACTGCCCTCTATGGTTTCGAAATTGCAAACTTGGAAACCGCAAGTTTGGAGAAATTCTTTAATCGAAACATAGATGGCAAGCATAAAGGAAAATAACCCTACTTCTTTAAAACAACGCATTCTTCGTTATAATGTAGGAAGAAAATTGTCTATACAATTTTGCCGGGTTATCACGACAGGTGTTTGCCTACAACCCCTTCCCCTCATTCCTCAGAAAACATAACTGACAAACTAAACAATTTACGAAAGATACTTTTGTTATAAAATTTATTACTTTGTAGTGTACATACACAATGTAATAACTTTTTAGTTAAATTTTATTTCATTTATGTGTTATTGTGTACAGTTTAACTGTTATATCCTTAACTTAAAACATTCAAAAAGTATAACAATGTCGGGTGCAAGTACAAGCACAACTTCCCAAAGTCCTCCGGCAATTGCCTCAATAAACGATGTCAGTGCTTTATTTCAAACCGCGAAGAAGTATGAAGAACTAAATGTAATAGGAACAGGTATATTAATTATTTTATAACCTACTAAATGCCATGTGCCGGCGATGTTAATCTCGCGCATTTTTTGTTTGTAATCACTGCCATTAAGAAAAAAAAAATCCGCTTTTAGTACTCAGTATAGTGAAATTGTGTTATTCGAACGTTTTTGATGTATTACATACTCGATATATCGAATAACAAAGCTCATACAGGTTCCAGAGAGCTTTCTTTTGAAACAATGTGAACCTGACTTAATTGTCTAATACCACAAATAATGGTGCTCAAACTTATTTTTTTCAGGTGCCTATGGTACAGTATATAAAGCCAGAGATCTACACAATGGAGGTCAGATTGTGGCCATGAAGAAGGTCAAAGTAGCGCTCACAGAAGATGGTATACCTCTGTCTACATTGAGAGAAATTGCTTTATTGAGACAATTAGAAGCTTATAGACATCCTAACATAGTTCGGTGAGAATAATAATTGTTTTTGGTAATAGACAATACATGTTTTGGGATTTATTCTAACATGTTTTACTCTATGTTTTTATGTCTTACCTTATAGATTGGCATAAAGTAAGTATTCTTTTATATAAAACTTTTTTAAATTCAATATGTATTTAAAACTAGTTAAGCAACTGTTAAAAGCACAGCTATATTTTTCTTACTTATAGATGTTACTTCCTAATCTGAATATTTCACTTATGGAGGTTATTTGTTGGGATTGGGCAATTAATCTTGTTTGTAGAGGTTTCTAAATGATCCAAGTCTAACTGTATATTAAACTCCATAGATTATAAATTACTTTTTAAACTTATTTAGTCATACTTCATACTAATGTTATAAATGTGAAAGTCAAGACTGATAGATGGTTGCATAGATGTTTGTTAGAGTTTGTAGCCTAAATGGCTGAACGGAATTTGATTAAATTTGGTATACATCTGTAGAGGATAGTCTTGAAGAACACCATAGGCTCTTCACTTTTTTAATTCCTTGCGGACGGAGTGGCAGGCGAAAGCTAGTTCAACAATAAAAACTACGTAAAATGATTGACAATATTTATTTAGTCAAATCAAAGAATGGATTTTGATTCTTTCAGACTGCTAGATGTGTGTCATGGTGGTCAGTCAGTGGACCGTGAACATCAGTTGGTGCTGTTCTTAGTCTTCGAGCATGTAGAACAGGACTTGGAGTCATATTTGAAGAAAGCGCCAGGACCTCTAGCTGAGAACAGAATAAGGGTAAAGTTGATTTAGTATAGTACTTATTATGATGAAAACAATTAAATACATACCTTAAGAATTATAAAACTGGTGTAACTATTTACATATGACTGGGTAATTTATTTATCACTAGCTGTTGCTCGTGACTTCGTCCGCGTGAAATGAAAAATAATAAAAAAACATGCCCCATGTTGCTCAGCGATAACATAGCTATTTATTGGTAAAAGATTTGTTGTAATTTTTGAGTTATGATATTTCAATGCATACAAAAATACAAATCTTTCCTCTTTATAATTTTAGTACTGATTAATATGGTTTATGGATAGTATGAATGGATGTATGATCAAGTTATTATTGATAATTAATTTAAAAAAAAAATTAAGACTTCATTTTATGCTATAAAAATGATAACAACTGTATTTT